TATTAGGGTCCTAATCATAGCTTAATCACTGCTATATACTCTTAAATATTGTCACATTGTAGCTCCTTCAGGCCATGGAATTCTGCTACTCAGAATCCAAGTCTCTCACATGTTAAACACATTCAGTCTCTCCAGATATTCCCAAAGTCTTAATTTGTCCCAGCATCAACCCAGAAGTACAGAGATGGGAAGCAAATCCCCTTTCCCCTGAGATACAGGGGCCTTCGGATGGATACAGAGACCCAGAAGATAACAAATGCCTTTTAGGTCATTCTGCCATTGTCTTGAACAAAACTAGGCTCTGGTCTATTCCTCTGATTTTTTTTTTCTTTTCAAAAAGATACTTGGCCACCGGGTACCAGTTGCTCACACCTGTAATCCTAGCTACTCAGGAGGCTGAGATCTGAGGATCATGGTTTAAAGCCAGCCTGCGCAGGAACATTATGTGAGACTCATCTCCAATTAACCACTAGAAAACCAGAATCAGCAGTGTGGCTCAAGTAGTAGAGTACTCACCTTGAGCTGAAGAGCTGAGGGACAGAGCCCAGGCCCAGATTTCAAGCCCCACAACCACAGAATTGTTGTGAACACTCCATTTGTGGAGAACAGTCTTTCATCTGCTACCCCCTTCAAAGCTCTTCCAGCATCTAGACACTCGGCAACACTCCTGTTTTTCTCTCTTAAGCATGGTTTTCTCATTCTTAATTATTCTGAAACAGGGTCCCTCTATGCAAGACTAAGCTGGACTTGAACATACAATGCTTATTCAGTTTTTCCAGCCCTGGACATACAGGTGTACACCACCACACCAAGCTGATTTTGTTCTCTTGACATGGCCAAGCTAGGAATTTTCCAGTATTTAATCCTGTTTCTCTTTCAATTACAAATTTCATCTTTATTTTTTGTTTTCTCCCATTTAAGAGAAGCAAACAGCACCCTAAATGTTTTGCTGCTTAAATAATTCTTCCACCAAACATCTTACTTTGTTGCTCTTAAATGTTACCATTTCAGAGAGAAAAAAAAAAAAAGATGGCCCTTCTGGACATTTGCGGAACCTCCTTATCTGTGACTTCATTCTAATAGTCTTTTGTCTTCATGTATCTACCAACATTCTCATTCCAACTGCTTAAATAATCACTGAGAATTCTGAGGTTTTCCTTGCTGTCTCCTGAGCCTTCAGGAGAATTGTTGTGAACACACCATTCATGGAGATACAGTCTTTCCTCTGCTGCCTACTTCAAAGCTCTTCCAGCCTTTAGTCATCTGGAAACCTAAAGCAATATCCTATAGGACCTAAATTTTACTGTATAATTATAATGTGAGGAACATAATGGAAAATGACATTTCTTTTGTCATCCTGCAACTTGGAAATAAGTATATAGTCTCTCTTTTTTTCAAACAACTGTCTTGTACAGTGATACAGCTGTGCTGCCAAAAACTAATAAAATGGACTTGGAACTATGCTGGCTATGGTGATCCTGCTCTACCTGGTCCAGCCGTCCGACCTTGGCCTTGGCACTGCAACTCTCCCAGCTCAGCTTACTCATCGGTATGGCCTATCTTTTGGAAGGCAGTTTTCAGCTCTTTGTTTTAAAACCACCTCTGGCACCAATTTCTATCAGTCCATTTGATGTGGCTGTAATGAAACACCGTAGAGTGCACAAATTGTGTAGGAATTCCAAGATTAAGGCACGAGCAAGTTTGGGTTTCTGCAGAAGGCTGCCTTAGGCTTCCAGCCTGGAAGAAATGCTGGATCTTCACATAGAAGACAGAAAAGCAAGCTGTCTGTGGGTAGCAGGAAGTCTCTTGCATAAGGAAGAAACCCTCCTGGCCTAGTCATCTTGTAAAGACCCTATCTCCTCATACTGGCAAGCACATATTTGAACCATAGTGCCTTTGTAAGCAGATATTGCAAGTTTAGGAAGTCTAGGAGGTCAAGTCAAACCACTGTGTATATTTTTTTTTACTGTTCTGTTCAGTATGATATTGTACAAGTCTAGGACAAAGTAGAGTGACCTGAGAAAGGGCTATCTTCAGAAGGATGATATTTTATATTTCTAAATGATGGGCTTCCTACCAAGCTTCTTTTTGAATTGAAATCTAGGATATAGGAGCAATGGGAATGTTCATTAAGGCCGTAAGATAACATTTGTAAATGAAGCATAGCAAATCACACTGAGCCCTTGTTTTCAGTACTTCTGGAGGACCACATCCACAATCATTTTGCCACTCTGTGCTTGTAACAATACAGTACATCTTCTATTATACGTTTCAGAAGAAAAAGGCGTGTGGTTTCTCTCCACAGTGACAGACATGTTTTCTTGAACAATACCCAGTAAAGGTCACATTGGAGATTTGAGTCACAAGCCCTATGATTTAAATTCGAGGCTATGTTTAAAAATGGCATGCCTAAGAGCTTGCCAAGTTCCATTAAAAGCCATGGTGTCATTATGGATTACCATTGAATAGACTAGGATCTTGCCAGCCATTGCCTCCTCTCTTAGTAGTAATGAAGAGATTTTCTAATTTGTTTTTTTTGTTATCATTCCCTGGCTGTGTTGTTATGATAGATACCAAATTATATAAATCCTACAAAACAATGTCTCATTTCATGGGCCACTTTTTCTTTCGCAAAGTGCATAATTTTTGGTATTTCAATGATCAGAGAGTTTGTCTGAGGCCTGACCATTAATTATAAATGCTTCTTTCCTCACTGCAATCTTTTGTTGTTCCACACATCCCCAATAGAGAGAATTTCCAACTTCTCTGAAGCCCCTGAACGTGTTTTCCCACTAACATCTCTCATACAGTAGTGCCACGATTATTAGCTAGTATTCAGTGCATCCTCACTCTGTGCTCCTCCATGTAATCTGTAATCTGTCTTTGTTTGGGAGGCAGTACTGGGATAATTCAAGGCCTGAGCACAGTCATGTAGCATTTTCACCCAAGATTAGCACTCTACCACTTAAGTCAAAGCTTTCCTTCTGGCCTTTTCTGTTTGGAGACAAGAGTCTTGTGGACTTTGCTGCCCTGCCTGGCTTCAAACTAGGATTCTCAGATCTCAGCCTTTTGAGTAACTAAGATTTTAAGTATGGACCATTGACAGCCAGCAGGTAAATGATAGGCCATACAGATGAGTAAGCCAGGCTAGGAGAGATGGAGTGTGATAGTCAAGGTTAGACAGCTGGACCTGGTAGAGCAGGATCACCATAGCCAGTGTAGTTCCAAGCCCATGTTATTAACACTACCTTATAGTTTTGGGCAGCCTAGTTGTATCACTGTACAAGACACTTGTTTGACAAAAAGAGAGGCTATCTACTTATTTTCAAGTTCCTGGAAATTTCTTGACTTACTTATTGAGTCATAAATATTCAGTGCATGAGGACTGAGTTAATGCTTGCAAATAGCAGTTGGGATTTTTTATTTTGGCAAATAGGCATGCTAGGTTAGAATTATAACCTGAAACTTTGTGTTGGACTGGTGATAAGATAAAAGAATGCTAGAATATGAGAATGTCAGAAGAGTTTCTATTTATTTTACATTCTTATAACCTTGGTTAAAGTCTGTCCCAAAGCCTACCCACTCCATTCTTTGTTCTTTGTTCTTCCTCTTTTCATGCAAAGCTGAGCTGGCTCTGTCACTCTATTCCTTTTCCTCTTTCCCCATGTAATAATCCCAGGCTTCAGTTATGCACAACTTGAAAAATACTGTCAGTCATTCCCTCTTGTTTCTTTATTCATATCTTAAGCTTCAGTTGTCAAAAATAAAATAAAGAATTTACAGAGTGACTTGTGACCTTCCTGGCACCATTATTTCTTAGCCTTTCTGAGGTCCTTCCCAAGTTGTGTAGAAATGAGCAAAACTTTCTAAGATTCAGACATTCTGGCACTTTGAGGGAGATTTGGAAGCACTTAGTTGGTGGGCACTGACCCTGAAACACGCTGTAAGTGTGGGTACTGGGACAACTGGGGCAGAGAAACTGTAGGGGGTGTGTCCCTGAGTTGATGTCAGAAATGTATGGAGATAACTGACTAAAAATGAGAATAGCAGTCTGGAGGGAGCCTGACCAAGTCTTCCACAATCCTTAGCTTCACGTGGAAGCAGCCACGGGAAGAGATAGTCTCATCACTCTGCAGCATCCTTGAATGTGGGCTCCCATCCTAATTACATCAGAGAAACGGAGCTGTGAGTCATGCAGAGGGGCCAGAGGAAGATGTGAGATGCCCGCCCATTTGCCGTCTTTGGCTCAGCAGAGCACACAAACCTGCAGCATCACACCAGGGAGCTCCTTGGTTTCCAGAAAACATGTTCTCCGCAGAAGGAAGAAAGTGGGAAGATAAATCTCAGTGCGTGCAAGCTGGTTCTCTGCATTCCTGTGGCCTGATGGAATAGGACCATATCTGAGACATGAAACAAAAAGAAATTAGGAAACACAATTTCATATTGTATTAATCATGTGGCATATCTGTGGGTGTGACCTGTTCTCTCATTATTTCTGTCTATGAAATGCTTTTCTAAATTATGTAGGCCACAAGTGTGAAAGGAAGGGAGGATCAATCCTAATGCCTTTGAGCTTTAAGAGAAACACAGGCCCTAATGCTGAGCTCAGCAAGGTGTGTGTCTGTTTTCCTCAGCTGTAAAATGAAGTGAGTACTCCACACTTACTGGACAGATGTCCCCATCAAAGAGCCCTGTGGATGAAGTCCCTGCCCAGAGCCAAACACTGTGGGCACACGGGCTGTAGCCTAGTTGCTCCTTCAGTCATAGCCTGCTGTAGAAGTGTGCTTAGTTACAAAATCCTCCTGCCTTTCAGCAATTTCTAAATACAGTGCCCAAAGACTATTTATAAATAAAAAAACTTTGGGGTACAAAAATTAATATAAATTAAGAATGTCGTGCTAATAATTCCTACATGTGAATATATAGGACTTCTGCTCAACAGGGACTAGCAGTAAAATTACTTTGAAGGTTCTCTAATGGCATGTTTTTCTTGCTTCCAGAAGCTTCCAGAAGCATCCTATCTGTCTGACCTGAACTGTTCTCTATGGAGCTTCTTTTGTGAGCAGCTTCTATTGAAAAGACCTTTATGAATACATTGTTTCCATCAAACTTCCAAAGAACACATTTGTCTTCAGACCTACTGGGTATTAAGGTTTGTGGGTTTTGTTTTTCCATTTTCTTATTAAAGATGTCAAATTTTAAAAGATTCTTTTAAAGTGCATAATACTTATACAACTTTCACTATGAACTTTGCAAGTAGCTAATGCACAAATTTTAATTTTTCTGATTTCATTTAAGGATAGATACAGGTGGAAAGAAATGTGCTATGGTTCTTATGCTCATTATTGTATATGTGTGATGTTGCAAGCATATTGGAAATAAAGTAGAAACCTATTTTATATCTAGATTCACCAATTCTAACCAAATAAATTCAGTAAGTTTATATCAAATATCAACAAGTATCAGAATTTGATATTTTTAATTAGTCAATACGTGTGTGTGTGTGTGTGTGTGTGTGTGTGTGTGTGTGTGTGTGTGTGTTTTAAGCACTGAAGTTTGAACCCTGGGCTAGGGTTCAAATATGCTAGGCAAGTATTTACCACTTGGTCCATGCTACATACCCTTGTGTTTTGTGTTTGGGCTTTGAAATGATGTCTCCCTAACTTTACCCAGTCTACCCTTAAACTCACGATCCTCCTGCCTCCACCACCTGAATAGTTAGAATTATAGGTGTGAACAGGACACCTGGCTTATAAAATATGTTTGCAAACATGAAAACTCAAAACTGCATTTGTGACTATCAACAAGTATCATCATTATAACATTTAAAAAGTTACAAAATTTCAATGGACAGAGTATTTTCATTTCGTTCTACCAGGAGGTTGCTCACTGTATATTCAATAAATGACAGAATATACAGAATATAGCTTGTTTACAAGTGTGTGTACATGTGTTAGCAGTGTTAAAAACAAACCACTTTGTGGCTTACTCAAAGAAAACAGCTTGGTAGTAGAACAGGCTGCCATTTGGAAATGTATTTGCCTTTGAGATGAATACCAGGTAACACATTTTTATTTTGAAGATTCTTTCTGACAAAGACCTAACTATAGGCTAGATTCACTTCATGCATCTTTCATGGCCAGAAAAAATAAGGAGGCTATGAGGGAAGGTCCAAGATACTGAGCGGACAGAAATTAAATGAAGAGCCAGTGCGAAGGAACAGGATACTTTCCAGCACGGCATGTCTTTTCCCCAAAGCATTTATTTCATTTGGTTGGACTTTTATTCTGTCTAAGGTGACAAATGTTTCTTTCCCTTTATGGTCCTTTACTGTGTTTCCCTTTTTTTTTAAATTTCTTTTATTTCTACTGAGAAATCAAAGCAGCTTTTACTGCAGTACTGGGCTAAATTCCAGGTTTCTCATTGTACCGTTCGTTGCTGCTCCTCATAGTTAGCTCACATTGGAGGGTGAGGCAGCGGCTGTTTATTGAGGGATGGGGTACATGGGAAATTTCCCCTCCATCTTCCATCCCCAAGTCTGTCAACATACAGTCTATTGGACACTAATAACTGTATCCATGGAAACGGAAGTGCTGGGAAGAACTTGAGAAGTTACCTAAGTGCTTGGCTTGAACTGCCTGAAACCAGTACAGTTCTATTTGTTTTTTATTTGGCGGGGAAGCAGGAGGCAGAATTGAGACAGGGTTTCTCTGAATAGCACAGGCTGGCTTCAAACTTGACAGTCTCCTATCTCAGATTCCTAAATGCTAGGATTACAGGTATGTTCAGCCATATCCGATGAGTCTGTTTGCTTTTCTTTTGTTTTTTACTTTTTAAAGTTATTATTATAAAGGTGATATACAGAAGGGTTACAGTTATATAAGTGAGATAAGGTGTACATTTCTTTTTGGACAATGCCACCCCTTCCCTCACTCTCCCCCAATCTTTCCCTCCTATCCCCACACGTAAATTGTATAATTTATTTTCAACATAGTGTCTAATGAGTATCACTGCTGCATTTGTTCCCCTATTGTCCCTATTTCTGTTGCTTTTAAACGTTTATACCAAACAATATACTTTCCCTTTCTTTTACATTACAGTTAAAACAAAACCCTACAAAATTTGAAATGTATCCCATATCAATTTGTATGTGTGTATGCACACATGTCTTTTGGGTTCTGGGGCTTGAATTCAGGGCCTGGATGCTGTCCCTGAGCTTTTGTTGCTAAAGGCTAGCTCTACCACTTAAACCACAGCTCCACTTCTGGCTTTTTGGAGTACCTCAGATTTTCCTAGCTGGGCTGTCTTTGAACTGCAATACTTAGATCTCAGCCTCCTGAACAACTAGGATTACATGTGTAAGTCACCATCTCTTAGCTTAACAAAAATGTTTAAGAGTGTGGTGAAGCATGTAGGTATAAACATTGTAAATGTGTCTTTTGAGGACTTCATTGTCATACTTTTTTATTTTGCTTGATTGAAAATCTATATTGGCTGAATAGCAGATATCTGTATTTCTCCCTTCACCTGTGGGTAACTATCATTGTACTTTATTTTTCCCTGAGTTTGACTATTTGAGATTCTGTATGTATCATATTTGTCCTCCTGTTACTGGCTTATTTCGTTTAGCATAATGATCTCAGTTTACTCATGTGAACATATAGCAAGACTTTCATCTTTTGTATGTCTGCATAATGTTCTTTCTTTTATTCACCTGTTGATGAACATTTAGTTTGTGGATATGAATCTTGACTATTGTGAATAATGCTGTAACAAACATGATATATAAATATCTATATAAGATCCTTTTTTCTTCAAATTTTAGATATATATTCCTAAAATTACTAGATCACATAATAATTATATTTGTTACCTTATTTCTTTTTCCTTAGACAAGCAATTTTTATCAGAGTCCCTCTGAATCCTCTTAAACTTAATTTTTAATCTCCCTTTTCCCTATGGTAGAAATATACATAACAGTCTATAAAAATCATAATTTTAACTATTTTTCTCCTTTTCTGCCTCTTTAGTTCTTCAGATCTTACTTCAAGATGAGTTAAAGGGGCTTTAAAAATTTCTGTTGATGCTTCTCAGTTGAGACATTTTGACATTTTTAGTTGGCCCATTCTGGATAATAAAAGAGCATGGCATCACACCTTTCTGTATGTTTTTTGTTTTGTTTTGGAATCTTTACTACCCTTGGTTCTCATAAATGTAAAGCACTAATTTCGTTCATCAGTCATGGTGACATCTTCCTTCTGCACTGCAAAGGAGGTCTTTCATACTACAAAGACCTGGCTCCTGGTTGACAGCACTGAAATTGGTACAGTGGTGTGTTGGGCAGAGCTGGGCCTAGACACACCTCTCTAACTCTATGTATAAGGTCTTTTACTTCATCATATTTCTCTTCTAGGCTTACACCCATTTTTTTTAGTGTTCCAGAATCATACTAACCTGCATATATGAATGGCCTTTTAGAGAACTGAACATTCTAGTTTGGTGTTTAAAAAACGTCTTCCTGGACTGATACAAGAACATAGATAAAGAAAAAAGATTAGAACAGCTAAGCTCAGGAAATGGCAATGAGAGGTATAGGATGGAGATGATTGCAAGGAGGCAGGTTGGTTTCCAATAACAGATGGTGTAGAAAAATCTGTAATCTGAAGGAAAACTAAGAAAAGGTCAGGGTATGAAGACATATTTTTTCACTTGATTTTCACCATGTACCTTAATTTCTGCTCTTTTCTCTGGGCCATAGGCTTCCTGAGAAATCCAAGGATCAGTTCATGGGGACAGGGACATGGGATTCCATCTGAATCTCCCCTGTCAACTGTCCACCTACTGTCCACCATCCACATCTCAGTCTTCTTCTTTTGTTTGTTTCTGGCCTCTCTTCCCTTTGTATGCAGACTTGATACCTGGCTGCCGCTTTCAAGGGCTCAAGTAAAGTCATACATTTTTTTTTAAGCGAGGATAAAGAAATACTTGACATTCAGGAATTTTCTGCACTCAAAGCTTTATGAAGGATCTGATATCCCGAGTCTTTTCCATACTATGGGAAAGCTTCTCCAAGGAAAACAAACTTCCATTTACTGTTCTTTTCTTGGGGTTCCTGTAAGGAGTGATTGCATTCCCTGGTTCAAAGATTACCTAATGACTGAGTGAGAAAGACTGCTGACTTAGGGTAGTCAGTGCTGGGTAGGGATGCATGTGATTAAATCTAGTGTCAGCTTTGGCCACCATAGAATGTACATTATCAGCACAGTCCTTCAGCAAAACTGAAGGAGCATAGTCTGTTTTCTAGTAAAATGAAGCTATCATCTATCTATACAAGGTTATGGATGTGGAGAGAGAAAAACATCAGAAAACATCAGAACATTTCCATTATCATGTTATTAAATTAATAAGGCTTTGTGACTGAATTCCTGCATCAAGCTTTAAAAGGTTGTATTTTTTTTTCCTTTTTCTGCCTGTCATCTTTTGTGCATAGGAAGGACACCAAGTTATATTTAACTCTCAGAGTTTCTCATTTCCTGAAATGCACTACTAACTCTATAAACATGGAAGAATAAATACTCACTTTATGAGAATATGTTTCTCCACTTGTTGAAAAATAGCATATAATAAAAAATACAAGGATGTAATATTGAAAATCATAGATCAATATGCCCTCTTATTAGGGGTGTATATCTAATCCATATGTACAGTCTGATTTTTCAGAAAAATATGTGCTGTGTAATACCACTTGTGTCCGTGATAAATCCACCTCTCCCCCATATTTAAGAATATATTTCAAAGGACTTTTGCCACACTAAGTATTTTCTACTATAATTAAAAAATACTCTCTGTTTCATCACTTTTAATTCTAGGAATTACTTATGACTTAAAGTTAAATTGTTTGTAGGTTCCTTTCTGGCTAGAGCTCCCCCCACCCCAACACCACATGAACAAGTTCCTTGGGAATTATATTGGAAAATATTTATGGGTAATTTTTTAAGGGAAGGAAGTCTTTGTGAGGGACTTAAAAAATTCATTGAGGTCTTCTTGCAGAACTAATAAACACTTTTAAGTGTGCAAGTTGTAATTCCAAAATCTAAGTACTAATGATACATCTGTACAAGTAATGAAATGTGTTATCCATTAAGGTATGCC